TATCGACACCTATGATACAAATAAGCTTGAGTGGGTCAGGTTGGGAAACCTGGTGAGTACATAGGGTTTTCAACCCACAATAATTTAATTATTATGTTTAATCATCAAACAATTAACCCAATTACCCATCCCCATTATCTTCGTTATTCTTAAAGGTCTATCCTAAGAATCATCTATCCTGCATTCATTCATTCCGAAGTCCATCTCTTCCAGGGTTCATATGACAGGCACTAAGTCCATAGATGCCAATGGTCGTTCGTAAAGCACTAAATCCATAGTTGCTAATCTTCATTTATCGGGCACTAAGTCCATAGCTACCAGCGTTTATCTAACAGGTACTAAGTCCATAGCTACCATCGTTTCTCTAACAGGTACTAAGTCCATAGCTACCAGTGTTTATCTAATAGGCACTAAGTCCATAACTACCGATGTTATTTATTAGGCACTAAGTCTATAGCTGCCAATGTTTTCTCACACCATCTTTCATCTCTCATCGTTCATCTACCCATGTTTTACCCAACATATTCGTAGATATAAAATACATATACAGTTTAAATCATTTAAAACATGTATAAAATCTTTCATCAAGCATAGAAAGCAAGTATTCAAATAATATCACACATAGCACGTAATTAATATAAAATACTTCATATCTATGTGTAAGATGAAAGTAACTATGCACTCACCTGTAATGGCGGTGACTCGGTACTCGGACATCACTTCGTTTACTTTAAAACAAATTTTCGTTGACAAAACCTAGTATCATTTCCACTAGAGTTTAGTCTAATGTTCAACGAGACTAATTAATAGTCTAACTATTATTACTATTATATAAGCATTAAACAATACTCTTCACCCACTATGTACAGACAGGGGCCAAACATGAAACACCGGAGGGCAGGATCATTTTGGCATATAACACTTCTGAAATCCAACAACCCAGGCGGCCCTTCAAACTGGATTCCCCGTACCGCGAGTGGTTAAAAATATATTATAACGACACTTATATAACCCATAATAATAGCTCAAATAATTATTATAAGGTCCTAATAACGTTACTATATTTAAATAAAAGATATATTAAAAATTAGGTAGGTGTATCTTACCTACGAGGGGGTTTGGCTAGAAGCCGTGCTCTGCAGGGGCAGAACTTCCGAGCCGAAAGCTCTTCTTCTCGGAGTCGTCAAGCGCTCTGGGGCTTTCTTCTAGCACTATGGGAGTTTTTGGGAGGTTTAGAGAGAGTGTAGAGAGAAGAAAGAATGGGAAAGGTGTGAAGAAAAATGAGGGTGGGAGAGGTTCTATTTATAGGGTGAAATATGGCTGAACTTGATGCCACATGTCACCATCTGGTGGCAAGACTTGGGGAGAAAGCAATGGCCAAGATTGTGCCACGTCACCCATTTTCGCACAACACACTTCCGACTTCTAAAATCCATAACTTTCGCATACGAGCTCCGTTTTTGACGTTCTTTATATAAACGCGTAGGTAAAAATAAGATCTACAACTTTCCTTTTGACTCCGTTGGCTAATTCTCGACCGATCTTAAATTTAACAGTAGAAGGTGACTACACTGTTAAATGTCCGCGTAAAATTCATAACTTCTACATACAGACTCCGTTTTCGTCTGTCTTTTTGTCATTGAGTTCCTATTAATGAGATCTTCAATTCTCATTTAGGTCGCATTGGCCAAAAACCGATCGATCTAGAATTCGAGTTTCGGGTCGTGCACTGCTAGGCCAAATCTTAGAAAAATCATAACTTCCTCATACAAAGTCAGATTTGGGCGTTCTTTTTATGCACGCTCTCGGTTTAACATATACTACAACTTTTGTTTAGATCACTAAGGCCAAAAAGTCATCTATCATAAATTCACTATTTACGTCGCGTAGTGTCGTGCCGGTTTTGTCACGAAACTTCGACGGACCATAACTTCTTCGTTATAACTCGGATTTCGACATTATTTATATGTACGGAACCCTTGTGACATATTCTACAACTTGGTTAAGATTAATCCTTCTAAATAATCTTCCATCAAAAACTCATTTTTGATGATCATTGTCTCTAAATTGACTAGCCCGGATCTACGGGCGTTACACTATCTCCCCCCTGAATTAGTTTTTTCTGCTTGGTCTCCTTGGCACCCACTTTAATCATAATTTTGTGTTCTATGACTTCTCTGTCTACTCCCACCATATCAGTGGGAGTCAAGGCGAAGACATGCTTGTATTGCTTTAAGAGATTGATCAATGCTTGTCTTGTCGCCAGAGGAAGGTTGCCGCCTATGCTGAATGGCTGGTCCGGGTGTTCTCTGTTGATGATTTCACTTTCGCTTGTTGGCTCCGGCCGTGATCTTTTACTTTGCAGTGTAATCTCTCTCGAATGCATGATCTCGTAACATCGTAGTTCTCTTGGTGGCGTTGCTAGGACCGTTCCCGTCCTTTCTGTTGTACTGAATTTTACTATTCCATGCATTGTTGACGGGATTGTTCCGAATTTGAGTAGGTCCGTTCACCCGAGGATGATGTTGTGCTCTGTCGTGTGCCGGATTACGAAAAAATCTATGAGGGTTGTCTTCTTTTTTGCCTTGTCGTGACTGGTCAGAGTGCACGTCAGGTAGATCGTGCCTAGGGGGCCACAAGCTATGTCCTTTGAAGCCTGTTAGCCACCCCATTGCGGTTTTGAAGCTCTCCTTCCACTTTTTTGGGAGGAGACGAAAACAATACTCGAAGATAATGTCTGTTGAACTGTCGGTATCAATGTATACCCGGTGGATAGTGATGTCTTTGATGGACCCCTGAGTTATGAGCAGGTCATCTCCTCTCCAGCCTACAGGTCGGGGGTCTTTTGCTAAGAATGTTAAGCCTTGCATGGATTTGGTGAGGTTGTCTACCCCGCCGTGCTCTTCCTACCTTCCTTTTTTTGATCTGATCATCAGGATCTCATAGGGTTCGTCACGCTCTTTTGCTGTATCCTTAGCGTTTTTAGCATCGAACTTGGCGCGGAGACTCCGTGCTACCTCTATGAGGTTCCCTTTTAGTTGTTTCTCCTCCATTTCACTTTTTAATACTGAACAGTTGATAGTGTTGTGTGTCTTACTATTGTGGTACTCGCAGTACCGTCCTTTTCCTCCCTTCACTGGTTGCCTATTTGAGACTACATAAACATAAGGTCATCTGCCTCTTCTATCACCCCTTTGGAATGGCCTAAAACGTTCTTGCAGTCATTTCCCACGTCCGAAGTCTCTGCTACCGCCCGAGGTTTCCAGGTGGTGCGACGACGGGCTGTGATGCTTTGTGGCTGAGGCGGTCATGGCGTTCAAGTACACTTGCTTGATTCTTGTCTTAAGTAATGCTTTACCTTCTCCTTTAGTTCAACCCGTGTATAGGGTTTCTTCCCCATGAACTTATGGGACAGTGGTCCCGGGAGAAGGCCCAACATGAAGGCGCTTGCTATTAACCCTTCTTCATGCCCTGGGACGTCTAATGTGGAATTAGTGAACCTAATGAAGTACTCTCGCACTATCTCTCCTTCTTTCTGTTTGCAACCAATGATTGAGTGTGAATCTACTTTGTATTTACGAAGTTGCATGAAATTCATCAATAAAAGGTACTTTAACTGGCCAAAATTGTAAATGCTCCCAGGCTGTAACGTCTTGAACCACATTCCTGCATTTTTGTCTAAGGTTGTTGGAAAATACATACACCATAATCGTGTAGGGTTTTGAGCATTCTAACACTCCTATGGTGTACATGCATCCCTAGAAACCTTGGATCTATGTTTTACTATGATACATGCAAATTTGTTTTTCCAAGGTTCTTAACCTAACTAGCATGGCATGGGGAACTTTAAAACATAATAAGCTAGTAGAGTTACATACCTTTTAGTAGTGGATGATTGCTTGGAGTTTGAGAGCCTAGCACCAATAATGTGGATGCCTCAAATGGAAGTCACAAATCACCACAAACCTTGGAAACTTGAGAAATAGTAACACTTTCTTGAAATCGGCCCTCTTAGTTTTCACACAAAAAACTAGTTTGATTTCAAGTGCCAAGGACTCCTTTATATAGTGTGGTGGATTAGGGTTACATCCATGTAAACCCTAATACCCATGAATTTTCATTTCCATGAGATCCATGGGTTAAAGCTCCATGGATTATCCATGGACTTACCATGCAAGCCTAGCCCATTCTAAATAAGCATTAGCCCATACTATATAAATACAAGAGTCCATATTTAATTAGTCACACTTTTGATCACTAAATTAATTCTAAATTAATTTTAGATCAATACTAATTAAATAATATGATTTCTTATTAATATATTAGAACTTATAATATATTAATAAATCATAACTTATACTATTCTCAAAAGATTATCCATATAAATTGTTCGGGTGAAGTGCAACCCAAATGGACCATGCCGGGTCGGGTTAAGTACATCTCAAATATAGTTATGGACTTAGACACCTTATCTAACAAATCGCTCGTCCAGCTTTAACGAGGTCATTGTCCATTCGTAAGTATCGATGTGGCTACCTGGGTCTGTGGTTCCATTATAGGTCTTAAGGTGTGGTAGATTTGTTGTATTTGGGATTTCATAGTCTAGGAGTTCCTTGGCGAACGGAGATGTCACGCTTCGCAATAAACAATCATGGTTTGGGATAGAGAAAATGCCTTGTGGGTTATATTTTTGGGCGATGAGGTATGGTTGCACTAGCATGCTGTTGTATGTTGAAAGGTCCCCTGGGGTTGGGTCGTAAAAGCTTTACTGCTGAAACGGGAAGGTCAGTGGTTGGGCTGATAAGAGGGGTAGGCTTTTTGCGAGAAATTTGTTTAACATGAATGGTGGATGTTGTGGGATTGTGGTATTGAATGGCATGTTTCTGACAAACGGATGTGTTTGGAAGGCCATCATTTGTTCTGTCATCGTCTAGTTTAGTGGCGGTGCTTGTGAGATAACCGGCACGCCGTTAACGTTGTCCACCATTGGTGGTGTTGTGCTACCTGAGATCACCGTCAGTTGTTGTGTTTGTGTGGGGGCCCGTTGTGCGAACACGACGGCGGAGGACATTGGTCCTTCGGCAGTCGATCTTCCGTAATTCGTTCTTTGTAGCAGTGGTCATCGTTGAGCCGCCTTGTTGTGGTGTTTCACCAGAAACTGGTGTGAAAATGGGAGTGATAACTGGTTCCAACGACATCATAGGCATGATAGGGTTTTTCAGTGTCTCACCAGTCCCATCGGTGTCCCCGGATGCCATCTCCAGGTGTTGAGAAGTGTGCTTTTGGTTTGTTTTTGTCACAGGACGGATGGCGCCAAATGATGCGACCTGGCAACCGAAAAATTATGCCTGCTGCTTCTGGTTGTTCCAATGAACCTACAAGGTCACAACAGGATGGAGCCATCAGCCGTTCTTCGGGAGGAGGCTCTCGGAAAAAACGCTCTGACAGTCAAGTCAGTGGATAGACTTGGATATCTTTGTGAGTGAACTGGGAGGGAGCGACTTAATTTCCTAGGTACCGTAGGAGGCATTTTATATAGAGGCCTTCTGCTAGTCCGTACGAGACAAGGGCATCAGTCCCGACAGGATCGGGCCCGTTCATTGGGTAATCATGCTCCTTGTTCTGTCAAAGCTAACGACTAGTTCGAGTGATAATGCGTTGAGCATCTTCCTTTTCGTCTAGAGCCATTATAATTTATCGCAGAGTAGAAGGTACCCTCGGACAAGCCTTCTCCGCGGACGCCCAACTTTTAGGAGTGTCTGCGGGCACCAGGTTTCGTCGGGCTTGCTCTGCTTGGCGTGACTTTCCCTGGGGAGTTCTCTGGCGCATCTGAGTGCGACTCTTCACTCATGCCAAGGGCACATTATCACTAGCCGAGTCAACCCAGCCGCGTACGATGGGCGTTCCCAGCTGAACGCGGGGCGTACTCGAATGTTGACTAGATGTGGGGGCTTTACCGCATACGCGCAGCGTACCACTTGGTACAACCAGCATACGTAATTGGATTCCTTCCCAACTTATTAAGTGTTTAATTCTTAATCCCTTACTTCCAAATTACAGATCCAAGCCCCAAATGTTGTCCTTGACCATAAAGTTTCCAACTTTATGGTCTTGCATGGCCATTAAGTGCTAAATTCTAAAAACCCCAACATCTTCAGCCACTAAGACAACCAAACTCATGCATGGGGAAGAACTAATAACCAAGATCATATTTTTATGCTTCTATACCTCTCAAAATGTATGAAAGGACAACCTAAATGGATTGGAATAGCTCAAACTCAAAATACCAAACTAATAGGACCAAAAGAGTATAAACTTCATGGCTAAACTAGATCTAAGCATAACTTCATCAATTTTAGAGCTTTTTACCTTCAAAGACTGCCCAAAGGTGATAAGATTTTGGATCCAAGGTGCTTTACACTTCTAGGTTGATCTCCTTTTCTTCCTTCCTCCTTCGAGAACACCAAAACACACACATCAAGCTCAAAAATGGCCTCGAAGTCCGCTTGTGACATCCCCATTTCACGACCAGTAAAGACCGGTTTATGCTTATTTTAAATTAGAGTTTTAATTTACCAATGCGGAATCTCTCTCATAAAATATTCCTAAAGGAATGTTTTTCATTAGTTTATTAAAAACTTGGGATGTCATAACTGATAAAAGAAACATAAGTATAAACAAAGACTTACAATATCTTAATATAGTCTAAAGTTTCTCAGATCTCTCAGGCATATCATTATTGTTTCCTGTGATACAAAGACGCTGAGTGGGTCAGGTTGGAAAACCTTGAGAGATACATAAGGTTTTTAACCCATAATATTATAATTTTTAATTATATAACATCAACATTCAAATACCCAATTATCCCATTTCCCATCACTCTCACTTACTAATCGTATTATGATGATCTTGAGGGATCTTTACTAAAGGAACTTTATTAATGAACAACTATAATTCCTAAGTGATTAGGCACGATAGTACGATAATATTCGCGGCAACACGACAGTACATTAGTACTTTTTGTATACTCATGGCAGGTATATCAGTACAACGTACTTGGGTTTGGCACGCCAGTATGAAAGTACTTGGGTTTAGCACGGCAGTACAAAAGTACTTGGGTTTAGGATGGCAGTACAAAAGTACTTGGGTTTAGCACGACAGTACAAAAGTACTTGGGTTTAGCACGACAGTACAAAAGTACTTGGGTTTAGCACGACAGTACAAAAAGACTTGGGTTTAGCACTACAGTACAAAGTACTTGAGATAGACACGACATACGCGGCTTATTATCTCACACGACTCTCTCTCTAACCTATCACAACCACTATTTCACACAACCTCTCATTTATTATTTTACACAACCCCCTCACTACCTAGTCATATTATTAAGTATGTTAAACATACTAATAAATCAAGTAGTGATCATATTTTTACAACTACATTAAACACAAAAATGACAACGCACATAACAGTTAAGCATTTAGAATACTTATATCTATGTGTAAGCTTGAAGTAACTATGCACTCACTTGATAAAGTGATGACTCAAAATTCGGGCAGAGCTTCGCTTCTAGCAACTGACCTTTCCTTTGACATGACCTAGTATCATTATCACTAAGTCTCAGTCTAATATTCTACATGGCTAGAGGGAATCTAGACCTGTCAATGATTCTAATGAATACTGATAGTTCTATCAAATAAGGATCGACCAGGCAGGACAGTCAGGAGGCAGGACCATTTCGACATATAGTCTTTCTGAGATCTAACAACCAAGCTGGCGTGACCATTCTAGACATCTCTTATGTAAGTAGATCAATCAGTATATGACTTGGAATCACTGATAAATCTTAATTATAGGTTCATAATAATGAATATGACTATAATTATAAATTACGTAAGTGCAGAGTAAGTGTAGCTCACTTATAGATTATGTATGAGAACCAGGGTCTAAGTGGGCAGAAATCTGACTCAGGGTCTCCTACTCGAACACGTACTCCGGGGTGTCATAGGGCTTCATCTCAAGCTAGAAACGATAGAAAAATAGATTTACAGGAGGGATAATCAAGAGTGAGTGGATGTAAGAGTGTGTGGAATGAACAGAGGACTGTTGGCTATTTATAGGGCCAAAAACGCTTATGTGAGTCGCGCCTAAGGGGTCCGCGTCGTGCGCTTCAAACACGTCGATCCATCAGTTAGCTGACACATGTCACTCGTCGGCTGGAGCAGCGTGGATGACTTCGCACGCAAACTACGTGTGTCGCGCTGCGTGTGCCGATTTTTAGAATTTAGAAATTGTGTATATCATTCATAAGAGCTCTGTTTTTGACATTCTTTATATCCACGGAAAGCTCTCGACGAGATCTACAACTTTCTTTTTAACTTTGTTGGCTAGTTTTGACTTCGTTTTATTTACACAGGCTTAGCCTATTAAAGCCCTGTATAAAATGCATATCTCTCACATCCGGCGTCCGTTTTCGATGGTTTTTATATTTTTGGAATCCTATTAACGAGACCTTCAGTTCTCGTTTAGATTGTTTTGGCCAAAAATCAACTGAAACTCAATTTTTGTGCACACACTGCATCGCTGAAATCTTAGAAAAATCATAACTTCCTCTATTGAAGTCAGATTCGGACGTTCTCTGTATCCACAAATTTTCTTTTTCCTAATACTATGACTTTCGTTTAGATCATTAGGGCTAATAGATAACCTATCTCTAACTCACTATTTACGACATATGCTATAACTCGGTTAAGATTATTTATCCTAAACTATCTCTTATTTAAAAGTCATTATTATGGCTTATAATAACTTTATTTCCTAGCCCGAATTTACGGGTGTTACACAGCTACTGTGAACAACTTCGGGTAATGCTCCTGCATCTCAGACTTGAGTTCCCATGTCTATTTGGAACCCTTCGGATGCTGCCACTGAACGTTGACCAAAGTCTCCACCTTGTTGTGCAAAGCCTTCATCTTCCGATCCAAGATCGTCACTGGCCTTTCAATGTAATTCAGGCGATCATCAACTTGAAATTCGTCCAAAGGAACAACTGCTGAATCATCGGCCACACATTTTAGAAGCTGAGAGACATGGAAAGTGTTGTGGATCTGGCTGAGCTCCTCAGGAAAATCCAATATGTACGCTACTTTGCCAACCCTGGCTATCACCCTGAATGGCACAATATATCGGGGCACGAACTTGCCCCTCTTCCAGAAGCGTATTACACCCTTCTAGGGTGATACCTTCAGCAAGACCATATCCCCGACCTGGAACTCCAACTCGGATCGACACTTGTCGGCATAACTCTTCTGGCGACTCTGAGTTGTCTGAAGTCTATGCCTAATCTGTTGAATGAGCTCTGTCGTCTGAAGAACTAACTTATTCCTTCCCATGACCCTATGACCTACCTCTCCCCAATAAACTGGGGTACGACACTTCCTCCCATAAAGAAGTTTGAATGGCGGCGCATCAATGCTGGAGTGATAGCTATTTTTGTAAGAAAACTCAGCTAATGGAAGGTAGGAGTCCCAACTCCCACCAAAGTCTATGACACTGGCTCTCAACATATCCTCAAGTGTCTGAATAGTACGCTCACTCTGACAGTCGGTCTGTAGATGATAAGCAATGCTAAGATGCAGCCTCGTACCTAGTTCCTCATGGAAATTCTGCCAAAAACGAGATGTAAACCGGACATCCCGATCAGATACAATGGAGACTGGAATACCATGTCGAGCAACGATCTCGCACATATATAAATTGGCCAATTTCTTGGCCGAAGAGCTCTCCCGAATGGCTAGAAAATGGGCGTTCTTGGTCAGACAGTCCACGATAACCCATATCGTGTCAAATCCATTAGCCGGCTAAGGTAACTTGGTGATGAAGTCCATAGCAATATGTTATCATTTCCACATGGGAACCTCCAATGGCTGCAACTTGCCATGCGGCCTCTGGTGCTCGGCCTTGACCATCCGAAAAGTCAAGTACCTTTCGACATACCAGGCTATCTCTCTCTTCACGCATGACCATCAATAACTAAGCCTCAAATCCTAATACATCTTGGTGGCTCTAGGGTGTATCGAAAACCTGGACTTGTGTGCCTCCACCATCACCATGTGCTTGGTCCCACCAAAATCTGGCACCCAAACCCGTCCATATTAGGTCAATAACCCCCGACTGTCAGTAGCAAACCTGCCAATCTCACCCATGAGTCTCTCCTGCTTCCAAATTCTCCTTCTTGACTCCCTCGGACTGAGCCTCC